GGCCGTCCCTGGCAAAGCACATGGCCAGTCCCCAGATGGCGGCAGCAGGCATGGCAGAGCAGCAGCTGGCAAGAGCGAGAGGGTAGCGCAGGGACATGAGCAGCAACATGGTGGGGTGGCACTGGTGTGGGATGGGGCGCACGCAGACAGACAGACAGACAGACATCAGGCAAAGGGCAAGGAAAGAGTTAGACACATCACCAACCTACGGGCAGGGCTCAGCGGGGCTGGAGCAGGGAGCTCCCTGGAGCGCAGGGCGGCAGGGAAGAGGACGAGAGCAGACGTTACACCTCCAGGAGGATGGTGCCCGCTCCCCTCTTCCTCCTCCCTGCTAAGCAGCACTGCCCTGTCCCACACCAGCTGTCCTGGGGGTCCTGCTTGGCTTGCTGGGCAGACCCCAGTGCCTGGGCAGGAGGTGCAGGGGATGTGGGGGGCCTGGGGTGACCTTACCTCCGATGGGGGCAGCGAAGCAGCAGCCGACACCAACGGCGCAGGCAGCTGCCAGCATTTCGATGTTCCTTGCCTCATTCTGTGGGAGAGCCAGGGGTGAGTGGGTACTGCCCCTGTCCCAGGCACCTCCAAACCTGCTGGGGGGTAGTGGTGGAGCTCCCCAGGCTCTGGCCTGTCCTGCTCACCTTATAGATGCCTCCAAAGAGGGAGAGGAAGCGGCTGAGCAGGGCTGCACACATGCTGGCGATGTGGACGAAGGGACCCTGCAGGACAGCAGTGGGGCTGAGGATAGTGTCCCCACTGTTCCCCTGCTTGCCCTGCCCTGGTCACTGCCCTCACCTCCTTGCCTAGCGGCATGCCACTGCCCAGGGCGCAGGTCAGCCCAATCACCTTGGCCACGAAGGTCTTGAAGGTGAGGTACTCTTTTAGCACAACACCCCGTAGGATGGTCTTCATCTCAGGGATCCCCGAGCCTAGCACCATGGAGACAGCCTTGACCCACAGCCATAGAGGGGGGACACTGGGCAGCTCCTGCCTCATAGTTCTCAGACAGATCCTTGACACTCTGCCACATCCCAGTGCCATATAGAGACCCCAGAGAAATCTATCCCCACATGAGAGTCAGCAGAACAGCCCTATGGCCACGTAGGGAGAGCTCAACCTATATCCCTCTGCGGACCCCAATCCCATAGCCCCAAAGAGCCCTAGAAAGACCCTATAACCCACAGGATACCCTCCAAAGACCAGCCCATAGCCCTTGGAAAACAACCAGCCCCAGGAATTGATGAAATCACTGTCCCTGGAAGTGTTCAAAAACCATGTAGGTGAGGTCCTTAGTGACGTGGTTTAGTGGTTGCCTTGGCAGTACTGGGGTAAAGGTTGGACTTGATGATCTTAAAGGTCTTTTCCAACCTAGCTGATTCTATGACATCCACCCCACAGGCCCCAGAAGATCCTCTGAAGACCTGCCCATAAACCTAGGAAACTCTCCAAGACCCCCAACCTTATAGCCCAGGAAGTAATCCACCCCATAGCTCACAGAAGACCCTCCGAAGTCCAGCTCATAGTCCTTGGAAGACTGCCAGGACCCCCAACCCCACAGCCCAGAAGGACACCCAGACAGATCCCAACTCATAGCCCCAGGAAGAAGACACATCACTGGGGTGCAGGCACCCCCCCAGTGCCCTACCCACAGCCTGGGGAGCGAGGATCTGGGTGAAGCCGGCTGAGAAGGTGATGAGCACGGTGGGGTAGGTGACCCAAGCCAGGTACTGCAGCAGCATGTTGGTGTCCAGGCCCCCATACATCCACTTCTGGGCTGTGGGCACATCCAGCCGGTTGGGTCACAGGTAGCAAGGGGCATGGCACGGCACTGTGACACAGACACCCCATGCCCCACCATGGCCACCAGGAGCCCACCGGTGCCCACTCACCTTGGAGGCAGGTGGCAATGGCAAAGTCCATGGCCCAGCTGACCAGTGCCATAACCAGCCCCAGGAGGATGAGGAAGACCCAGTCCTCGCCCACCTTGGAGAAGAGGAACCGCTGGCACTGCAAGGTGCAGACTGTGGGTACAAGGGCAGGCTCAGGGCAAGGCACCCCAGGGATGGGCACACCGGACGGCAGGGCCAGGCTGGCAGGGACACAAGTGCTCACAGCCAGTGGCACCCACCCAGCACCACTGGCACTATCTGGTGCAGGAGGACCACGGTGCCATGCCACAGCCACCAGAGGACAGGAACGGTGGGAACAGCATGCTCTAACTGTGCACAGCCGCACATGGCGTGCACCTCCCACCAGCACAGCCCTCCTGGCACAGCTCCAGGCAGAGGGGCTGGGGCCCCCAGTCCTTGCGGCATGCCCGTCTATTTTGGGCCATTGTGTCCCTGCTGCCCGGCGGGCAGGTGGCATTGTCCTCAGCGCAGGTGTCCCATGACAGACAGAGAAACCCTACCTCCTGACACCGTGGCAGAGTGGGCAGCCATGCCCAGGCCACATGCTGCCGTGGGGCTGTGCCCACTGGTGTCCCCTATTCCCGTGTCCCTATTGCCTGTGACCCTTACCTCGGCAGGGCGCACAGCGGCCCTGGGTGTACTCCAGCAGTTCAGAGGGGCGGCGGGGCCTGGGGGGGTCCCCCTCCCCATGCAGCCGCAGCCGAGCCGCCTCGTCCTTGGCGAAGGGGCCCGTGCCAAGGTCCTGCGTATAGCGCCCATACATCTGGAGGGAAAGGAGCAGGCAGGGAGGTCATGGTGGGCACAAGGGGGGAAACTGAGGCAGGGGAGCATGGGCGTGCTGGCATGGCCACCCAGCACCGGGAGATGCCAGGTGAGAGGCAGGTGGCCATGGCACCCCAGGGGAAGGGACGGTGGCGCCTCTGCGGTTCCTGGGCTGCCCACAAGGGTGTGGGAATGGGCTGGGCAGATAAGGTGTGTGTGGATCGATGGCGATC